AAAAAAAAAAATCCCATTAAAACATTTAAAAAATGTACACATAATCTAGAAAGACAGGCAAGTTACAGATGGGCAGCCCACTTAAATTCTAGTGCTGGAGAAAAGCTACCCAGTGCCAAGGTGGACACAACCTGAAAAGATGCTCCTTCAGCATCTGGGGTGGGGCTCTCTCCAACAGCAAAGCAAGGATACAGGAAGCAGATCCTGTACATGCTGCTGCTTACACCCGTTTAAACAGCACCCACAGGCCAGGCAGAGGCAGGTACCAAAAAAATTGTGAAGAATTATTTAGTCCTCCGATTCCCGACTGAAGCTAGGCAGCGGCACTCAGTGGTATCACAGTTGGCCATCACTGTCGTTGACTTGGGGAAATTACCCTCTAATTTTTCTTTTTTTTTTGAGACAGGGTCTCACTATCTAGACCAGGCTTGCCTTGAACCCTTATGTATCCCAGACTAGCTTTGAACTTGAAGCAATCTTCCTGCCTCAGCCCCCCAAGTGCTGGGATTACAGGCGTGTGCCACCACACCTGACAACCCTCTAATTTCATCATCTATAAAACACCATCCTCTCTGTACTGAGAGAACAAACCCCGCTACAGCTGGGCACCAAAATTAGTTCCTTTCTTTCCCTTTTCCTGAGTCAGCCTATGGGTTAAGGTCCCTGAAAGAGACTTGTCTCCTTCATTTCCCCACCAGATGGTGGTCTCCCTTCTCTCTCAAACACATCAGCATGGAAAACCACCCTTTGCTCCCCTTCTGGGTACCTGCAGACCCTCATCTCCAGCCCAGGTCACCCAGGGCCTCAGCTGCCTACCTTCTCCTGGGCCCTGCTGAACTTCTTCTGCACCTGCTTGGCGAAGAGGCCTGCAGCACCACCCGCCTTGCCCTCTGCCATCCTGCTGGGTCCCCAGGGGGCGGCTGGCCCAGCCCTGCGACCTGTGGTTTCTGCAGGGCCCTGAAGAGGAAGTGCGGATTCCCAGCATGCTCCACTGCCGACGTCTGGGGAGGGGCCGGGCCTTGGCCTCCCAACCTGCCTTGGCTGCCCCTGCGTGGGGCCCCGGGCCACCCAGGGCCGGCTCGAGGGTCTCCTGGTACCACCCGACGTCCACTGTGACCCAGGCCCACACGGCAGCCACTGTGAGGCCCACCTCACTGCCCACTACAGTCCAGAGCAGCAGGTGGGGCCTGGTGAGGATGCCCGGAACTGGGGTAGAGGCTGTGCTGTTCCAAGGTGGAGGCTTGGGTAGAGGGGTGGGACTTGGGCTGCCCTCAGTTGGGCACACTCTAGGCCAGCCTCAAAATTCCTGCCCCAGGCGGAGGCAGAGGCAGGAGAATTACCACTAGTTTGAGGACACCCTGAGTTCAAGGCCAGCGTGAACTGCATAGGGAGGCCCTGGTCTCAAAAAAAAAAAAAAATCCTGCCCCATGGTAGGGGACATAGGCTGCACTTAACGGGGTATTGTGGGCCAAGGCTCACTCATCCCAGCAGATGAATTAGCCCTGGAAAGAACTGACACAATGAGGCAGAAAATACAACTGACTTCCACTCACGAAGTCATAGTTACTGTACTGGGAAGCATCTTTCTGTTCCAGGGTGTTCACAGTGGGTCGCTCGGGTTGCAGTTTACTCCCGGGAGAGGTTGGCTCTAAGCTTGAAACTGGTAGGGGTAGAGTGCAGGAAGTGTGGGGGCAGGACTCCAGGCCTGGCCTTGGCTGGGAGGAACAACTAAGCTGGAGAAACGGGAGTCCTCAGGTAAGGAGATAACCCCATTGAAAAGAAAAAGGACTGAGAAGAATATTTTTCATACTGTGCTGAGAATGCGGAGCAAGTTTTTCTAGCTGGAGTACTGTATACTAGATGGAAACATGCAGGCCTGTAGTCCTAACACTCAAGAGGCTGAGGCAGGATTGCTGTGAGTTCAAGGCCAGCCTGAACTGCATAGCGAGACCCTGACTCAACCCCACTCCCACCCCTCCAATTAACTAGATGGGAAAATCAAGGCATATCAAAGGCCGGTAATTGGTCCAGAGTTACCCAGCTTCTCAGTGGCAGAACTGGGAGAGGAACATAGGTGTCCTGGCTCCAGCCCAGCCTCATATATCACGTTCAGAGCCTCTGCTGATATAGTAGGACCAGTTCCAGGACCTGTCTCAGTCAGTTTCTCCTGCTAGAATGTTTACTACCTTAGTCACTCACATCTGGTCTTTAGTAATTGCTAGAAAAACTGCTTCTCATCTGCTTAGACTTCTTCTTTCAATTCCCTCTTTGCTTTCTCCTAGGCCACTTTTAACATATTGAGCCCTGGCCAGGAGAGAGCAGAATTATCAGCTTCTCAGTTCTTTGTGGTTTATAAAATGCAGGATCCTGTTGCCTATTTTAGTCGCAGCCTTGAAATGCTGATTCACACTTAACTTGAGGCCCATATTGTTGCCCCTTCCTTTCTGTTGTCTCTTTCCCTCAACTCTTTCCTTTATTTAGTATCCTCCTCTCTCTCCTTTTCTGTTCTTTGCTTCCCAATCTCCTTTCTAATTTGTTAGCTCCTTAGTCTGCTGGCATGTGACCTTCCATCCTAATCCCATACTTCTGTCTCTAGTGTATCTTAGTAGCTTCTGTCAGCCAGGAGCTTGAGGTGAGCACTTGTTTTAGGCACTGAATGGGAGAACCAAAGAAGGATGAGCCCAGAGTCTACCTTGGAGAGTTAGGGCACATTTAGTCACTCAGGAATTTTTAAAAGCATTTTGTGCCTTTGGGTATAGCAAATATGTACAGGAGAGGGGTCAGATAGACTAATGGATAAGTATATACTAAAATAATCCAAAATGGATAATGTAAAACCACTCTCACTGGGTTTAGTTTGTGGGCTGGTAAAGATAGCAGCAAAGGGAAGAACCAGCCCACAGATGTGATGAAATCTAACTTGGGTCCTGTAACTGTAACTGCATTTCCTTTGGAGGGCTTAATTACAAATAGAAAGACACAGTATGATAATGTACATTCCATTTTATTTGCTTTTTTTTTGAGATAGAATCTTACTATGTATTCCAGGCTGGCCTTAAACTCACTGTATAGTCCAGGTTGGCTTCAAGCTTGTGATCTCCTGCTTCAGCCTCTGCCTTTTTTTTTTTTTTTTTTTTTTTTTTAATCTGGTTCTGACTCAGTCTCAGAATTTTTTTTTTTCAGTGCTGAGTTTGTAACCCAGGGCCTTGAGCGTCCCGTACAAGCACTCTACCACTGAACTATAACCCCAGCTCTATTTTTTCTTGTTGACTCAAGTTCTATTGCATGCAGATCTAAGAACCATCTTTAGAAGGCCACTGGACTCAGAAAAATGTTCAATTGGAGGCAATGACCTGAAAGAAAAGACAATTATGTCCACAATTAGTAAATTCTGTCTACCTTCTTTCTTATTTTCTCAGGGCTCCAAGTTAAATATGTCCTGTATGGGGTTTATGGGGAGTTTTAGGGGCAGTAGTAGGTCTTAGGAAGCCTCAGTATTATAGGCACATACCTAGCAGATAGAGGCATGGGCAGACTTTAAAATGGTGTGAGCCAAGATTCATGTTAGAAGGCTCCAGAATGTTTGAAGGGTGGAGAGCATAGTGAAATGGATTGTGTGTTTCTACTACTAGATCAATATAGGCAGTTCCTCCTAATTCTCAACCATTCTTTAAGGAGATAAAATTTTCAAAAATTAAAACAGACCAGGTATGGCCGTGTACAGTTATAATCTTAGCACTTGGGAGGCTGAGGCAAGAGGAACTCAAGTTTGAGGCCAACCTAGGCTACATAGTGAGTTTGGGACAGCCATGGACTACATGGCAAGACTGTCTCAGAAAAACAAAACAAAAAGTTAAAACAATTCTCACAATGCCCTTAGAAAGAGATTGAGGGAGAGGAGCATGCAGACCTTTCTGAAGCTGTTTTTCCCTTGGCTTTGACTTAGGACAACCCTAATATGTGCCTGGTTCAGATCTGCTATTACTACTATCTCAGCCTAACCAGTAAACAGTATGGTGAAGTCTGCTCAGTAGTTACATGCAGGAGAACTCACAATGGTACCACTACGTGGGAAAGGGAAAGGACTAACTATGTGAATGCAGTAAGGAGACAAATGGCTTTCCAACCCATCTTTTGTTCCTAACCCATGCTGTACCTGGATGTCCAGGTGACTATTTTAACCCATCACTTGAGAGGACTCACATTATTTATCCAAGAGATATATGCAGAGACACGGGTGAAGACTGTGGGCTTCTTGGCAACATTGCAGCCCAGGCTGGACACAAAGCTGGTCACTCCATGGACAGCATACTGACCATTCACCAAGCAGTGGAGGGGCCCCCCGGAATCACCCTGAAGGGAAGAAAAGCAGAGTCCTAAAATTCCAGCCACATCCATCTCTACTTGTGAAATTCTGTACAGTTTTAAAGCTCTAATTCGAATTTTTACTTCCTTCATATCCCTGCAATCAAAGTGAATCCCTTCTTCCTTTCTAAAATAGCCACAGTACTTCTTCCTCTCTTTTGCAGCACTCCTGTCATAGTCTGCCTTGTATTTTGGTCTCATAATCTGTTTCTGCTTTGCATACATATCCATGAGCTTCTTGAGTCAGGAACTATGTCTTATTGACATCTTCCCTTTCCATAATGTTAGCATAGAACCTTTCTGTTGTTGTCCTTGTGGTTCTAGGGATCTCAGAGCCTTGCATTTGCTAAGCACATACTTCTGCCACTGAGTTATACCCCCAGCCCTAATCTTTGTGTTTATATGCTCAAGGTCTTAGGTTCAATTCCAAGCACTGCAAAAACTAAATATAGACCAAAACTGTCGGGAGCAATGCTACATAATTTTAGGGTAAAATCATTTGGTTAGCCTAGTTCTCTTGCCCACAGCCCAGCTACAGAATAACTCCAATTTGGCCTCCGGTCACAACTGAGACTTCAATGATCCAGTGATGCTGTGATTCTCCAGGACAAGAAACATCCTGGGAGCTGAAAACATCCTGGGAGAATAAACATCTGCTCAGTTCCTCATTGTTCTTGGACTGTTAACATCTTATTTACCCAGGCTGTACTGAACTCTCTGCAAGTCATTTGTTACATTTGTTTCTCCCGATGTACTGAATAAAAGGTGTGGTAAGCTTGGGGGCTTTGTCTTTGCCGCCCAGAGCAGCACTGATCAGACCCAAAGCTCAGCTTCTTCTCAGTGTCATTTTTCTACCTTTCCTGTAATTCGCCGTGTGCTGCCGTGGCTCACAGGAGACCAGGACTCACTGCAGAGGTTCTGGTAACGTCCCCTTCCCCTGTTCCCTACACAGAACAAATCTACAAAAATAAAAAACGAAGGCAAACAAGTCTAAGCAAGGAGAAGAAAATAAACTATAGAACTACAGTTAATACTGCATCCATGGTACACGAACAACATGTCATTAAACAGAACAATCAGAGAACAACAAAGGGAGCCCTTAGAAATTATAAATTTGAAATGAAAGTTTGGAAGAATTAGAACATAAAGTAGAACAAAGAAACAAAATATAGAGGACAGGACCAGGAGGTAACTGCATGTATAAAAGAAATTCCAGAAAGAGGGTTAGAGGTGTGGCTCAGTGGCAGAGCATGTGCCTCGCATGCACGAGGCCCTGGGTTTTATCCTTAGTGCCCAGGAAAAAAAATCTAGAAAGAGAAAACTAAAAATGGAGGCGAAGAAATAATCAACAAAGAACATTTTCAGGACTTTCCAGAAAGGAAAAAAACCCCACTAAATATTATAATGAACACGAGTGGAACCACCCCACTGGGTCTGACCATCGGGGGTCCCAGACCACCAGGGTCAAGATAAAAATGAAGCAGGTGACATAAATTAGTGGAGAATGTGGGGCTGAATTAGGGCTGAGTTAACTATGTATTAAGCAAATAAAAAAGCAACTATTAACTCCAGGGAAAACAAAGTTATGTAAGAAAGGAAAAGTAACCCTAAAGTATTACATGATTTAATTGTGAATAGCATTTTACGTAGTCATAATGAACACTGACCTAACCAAAATTATTTTGGCAGGTTAAGAAGGTGAGGGGAAAAGTTCATACAGGGTGGGTGCATTTCCCATAGTACCTGAACTGAAAAATTAAATAGTAGTTAAGTATATATATGTACATATTTTAAGGTATGTAGGTTTACCTCAAAAGATCAGCTGAAAAGGCTGAACGTTGTCACCTCTGGGGAAGGAAAACTAGATGAGTAGAGTTGGTACAATTACTGTTCTTTTCCACTACCGAGCCTCATAGTCTTACAGTATATGCCAATTTAATAGATATAGCTTCAAAAAAGAATTAAATTTAAAGAAGAACTAGGCTAGGTGTGGTGGCATACACCTGTAATCCCAGCACGGGGGAGGCTGAGGCAGGTGGATTGCCTGCCAGTTCAGGCCAGTTTGGGCTACATAGTGAGTTCAAGGCCAGGCTGTACTACATAGTGAGACCCTGTCTCAAAAAACAAACACACAAACAAACAAACAGAAGAACTAGAGAAAAAACCCCAAAAGTTTAAATTGGAGATAATTCTTTTAAAGATGAACTAGCTTTTAAAGGATTCGCCTGCCTCCTGCATGACTAGCTATCCTTAAAGCTATCACTTTTTATGTTCCGGTACCCCAACTGCTGTTTGGGAAAATGTGTTTTCCCTAGATTATTGTACTTAAACAAAACAACCTAACTGCCCTCCTTCTATATCCTAAGAAGGACTTGAGAGTATTTCAGAGCTAGAGGAACAGAAGAAAATTCAGTTGTGAGTACTACTGTCATATGCTAATTGACCTTAAAAGAGATTGGCTGGAGCTCTGGAGAGATGGAGCATGTGACCAGGGATTTTACAGCAGAAGGAAGAGCTGGAAAAGAACGTAGTGGGAATAGGTTGATTGAACTGGCAGGGTTGCAGTGAATCCACTTTGAGGAGAAAAAGAAATCCAAAATCCCAGAAGACCCACTATTTGGGAAACTCCAGTGGAAAGGGACCTGAGTGGCCAAAGAAAAGTACTTTAGGTTTTGAAAATTGAAGGTCTCACAAGAGTAACAAGATGAGAATAACTCAGAAGGCTACACCTTATCTGTGGAGCTGGCTAGCTGATGAGGACCTGGAAGATGCTGCGTTATGCACAAGTCTGCCTCCCCACCCTCTCTTGACTTTTTCTTTTCTTTTTTTTGGTACTGGGGATCAAACTAGGGTCCTTGCACTTGCAAGGCAGGCGGTGTAACCACTGAGCTAAATCCCCGGCCCCTCCCTTGACTTTTAACAAAGGAAAGTCACAGGAAAACTGGGATGTGTTGGTTGCCTTATTTCCATGGGTCTTTGGATTCACAAAAATCCCTTTAATTCCTTCATTCTATTTCAACTGGCTTGTCAGCCTCCTGCTAACAAATTTTCTTCTTCTGCATAGCTTGAACCTTGCAGTTGATCTGCAATCATGTCCTATTGCTGTAGTCTTGCAGGAAAACCCAGCCTTGGATTAAGCCATTTCTTATATCTGGTGTTTGAGTAAGATGGAGTGAAGCGCACACCCACGTGGTCATTGCCTCATCTCCAACCTCAAAATCCCGGAGGACAATCTGCCCATTCACCTTAATAATCCCAGACTTATACAACCTTTGCATCTTCATTTTCTGCAGTCAAATTGACTCATCCTAAATCATAACCAGAAACAATAATGCAGAACAACTGTAAACTTCCAGCTACCCAACCTGCAAACTCTTTCGAGTCCATGTACACATCTGGCATCCCTCTTCCTGGCCCAAATCAGTACAACTGGTTCTCTCTTCCTTTTCTTCTGGGATCTTGTACCATCCATTATTCCTTTTTCCTGGCTGTACCAGATTCTTTCCTCTCTGCCTATTAATGCACTCAGTTCTCTTCCCTTTTAAAAGATTCAATTCCTCCATGACTAGCTGTCCTTAAAGCTACCAGACTTTTTCTGTTCCTGTTTCATTCATGATTCTTAGAAGAGTAACCTGTATTCCCTGCTATATTTCTTACTGTGTGTTTATCCTTTATTATTCATTCTGCCCTCACCACTCTACTAAAATGGTTCTTGTCATGAACAACAGTGATCCACCAGTTGCTAAGTAGCCATTTTCTTCGTTTGCACTATGGTTCCTGGCTGCATTGCATACTATATATGTGATGATCTGTCAGTATTTCCTGAGATTTTCTAAGTCTGTACTGCATGGTTTTCTCTTATCACTGCAGGCTCTTTCTTAGACCCTGGTGTGTTCTTTTTGTTCTACATATCTCTGAAACTCTCAAGCATTTATGTTTTCCTTCATAGTTCTTCCCTAACCCAGTGTTTTTTTCTACAACTTTTTTTGGTTGGCGGGGCGGGGGTGGGGCTTACTGGTTAGCTACACCTGGATGTCCAAACGTTATAAATCTTGTCTCGTTTGAGGCACCAACTCCATACCCTAAATCACTTAAACCAGATACTGGGAAATCATTCCAGATCCTCCTCCTTTCCTGCCTCTTTTCCTTCTCTCCCTCCTCTTCATTCCTACCACCATTGCCCAAATTCAGGCCCTCAAATTTCCTTCCTGGCCTGGCGTGGTGGCTCATGCCTGCAATCCTAGCACTCATGAGGCAGAGGCAGAAGGATTGTGTTGAGTATGAGGCCAGCCTTGGTTACACAGCAAGTTCAAGCCCAGTCTAAACTGCATAGTGAGACCCTGTCAAAAAAAACCCCCAAAACAAAAAAACAAAAACCCTACCTAGATCACTGCAATAGCCCCTTAACCAGTCTCCCTGCCCTTCCCTCTCTTCCCCTTCTCAGAAAGCATGCCTACGTCATCCCCAGGGAGTGCTTCTAAAAGGCAAATCTGACTGTGCTGTTCTGTTTACAAGTCTTCAATGGTTTCCCAGTGCCTAAGAGAAAAAGGTCTTATCCCTAAGCAAGGCCTTAAGCCTTAAGTCAGGGGAAGTCATGTGGCTCCTGCTGGCCTCTAGTCTCATCTCCTGACATTTCTTAGTAAAGTAATAGTTTATCCTCTAGCCTAGAGGTTAGCAAACTTCTTGTGTAAAGGGCAAATAGCAAATATATTAGGCTTTGCAGACCACACAGTCTCATTATGAACCTCTGTATTGTTAAAAATAAAAAATAGGTAAATAGGTAAAAAAAAAATAGGTAAATAAAAAAATTTGCAGGATTTATAAGTGACATCAGGTCACGGCCATAGGTATTCATTTACCTTATTTTTCATGTATCCTTAAACATTCTTTTGATTTTTCCCCCAACAGTTTCAAAATGTAATAACCATTTTTAACTTGAGGGCTATACAAAAACAGGCAGCAGGCTGGATTTGGCTTGTGGGCCTCCAACCTCTACTTTGTTCCAGCTGTGGGAAAATTGTTTCTTGGCCTGATGGTTTATTCATGCTTTTTCCTTTCTCTGAATGTCTTTTCCCTTTTTCTACCTGGCTTACTTGTATTTAACCTTCAGGACTTACTGTAGATTCTATTTTCCTAGGAAAGGCAAGTTTTTTCTGACTCTAGCAAATAGAGGTCGTACTTATCCTTGAGCTCCGACATCATTCTATTCCTGTCTTTATTGTAATACTTAGCCACAGTGTATTACAATATATTGTACCTCTGCTCCTCCCCTATATGCCAGGCACCATGTTAGGGACACAAAGAGGAACCAAACAATGTCAAGTGGAGGAGCACACTGACATGGTTTGATTCTTCTTTTGTGTTTCTAACATGGTGCCTGGCATATAGTAGATACACACTGAACATTTGTTACATTTCATTAGAAAATCTCTAATACGGTTTATTGCTGATTGATCTTGTCTAAGTAGAGAATTGTCTCTATTGTATAAAACTAGCAAAATTATTTTGTGTACTTTTCCCTACCATACTCACCTGTACCCATTCCTGTAAAAAATGGGGTAAAGAAAATGGTAATGGGCTGGGGATTTCGCTCAGTGGTTTCACCACCTGCTGAGCAAGTGCAAGGGCCCAAGTTCGATCCCCAGTAGCAAAAAAAAAAAAAAAAAAAGTAATGGATGAAGTACAAGAAAAACATGGAATTTATAGGATTGGGAGCTATCTTATACACAATTACAACCACCCTTCCAGGCCCAGCCCAAAGCTAGGCCACAAACGATACCTAAAGGACACACACATACATGTGCCAATACACAAAGGTAGGGTTACCCAAGCTTTTAGGGTGGGGGCATTTAGCAAGGCAAATTTGACGTTCCTTTTAACTCTGAGATTCTGTGAATAGAGTTACTAGCACAGAATCACTCTCAGATGCAAGAATGGAAAGTTGAGTCTATACATAGGTGCAAGAGTAGGTATGAAATGGGTGAGCAAAGGGTAGCGGGTCAAAGGCAGAGAGCAGAAGGGGTGGGGGTGGGATTTCTGGTCCCTTCCACATGTGTTCACCTGGCATCCAGAGCGAACTCCATCTCCGCCAGCACACACCATGGTGTTCTTCACGGTGGAGCCCCAGTAGGAAGAGCTGGAGCAGATGGCATAGCTCACACTGGGCAGGTAAGCCTGCTGCAGGGTCTGGGACACCTGTCCATTGGCTGAACAGGACACACATTGGAAGTCAGTCCTGATTCTGTTCAGGAAAAAATCCTTCCACATCTGCCAAACCTTCCCAAGCTCAGGGCAAGCTCCTTTTCTCTGCTGTATGTCACAGACCCTCTTCTCTCTCTTTATATGGCAACTCCAGGCCTCTTACTGTTCCCAGGCTCCAAGTCTAAGCCAACAATCCTACCCTTGCCTTTTTCACTTGTGGGTAACTTAGTTAAGTAACAAGAATGGTATTACTGGTTGATAACTTATCTGTCTGTTATGCTCCTTACACTGTAAGCCTCACAAAGCAGAACTAGGATGGTACACACCTGTTTCCATTTCTTAAGAACTTGGCACAGCTTTCCTGTCTCTAGCTCTTTTGCCTTTTCTTCCCCCCACCCCATTAAGTTCATTGGTACATTTTAGGTATAAAATACAGTTACATTCATCATTGGGATCTTGTACCTTGACATGAGTATCATGCTTCTTATTTTTTTTCCCCTTCCCTTGCCCTCCCTTCACCCCCCCACCCTTCCCTATTTGCAAAGACCTTGTTTCCATTTTTTTTCCTCTTCTCATATTTTTTC